ATAACATGAATTGCATCACTTCTCCAAATGGATGACATGATAAATCTACAATGCATGTCCGGACATGAGGTGTATAATATTTCAAGTGGAGAAGTTGCCACAATCATGTTCCGCAATACCATCAGAGCCAAAGTCTGATTCAGGAATCTTCGCAAACCACGCCGACCGTTGGATATTCGATAAAGTCAGAGATTCAGGCAAAATTCCACCGAACAACGAATTGACCCATGCGTCAATCACAGCTTCCATGCCGACAAAGCGTCTGAGGACCAATTCCTTCCGCATATCAACCGTTGACATAAAATCAACGGTTATGATCATATCCACGTGGGACAGCTACAGTTCTACTTCGTTATCGTGATCCGCGGGTGCAAGTATAGAGATGCCAAATCCGCGCGGTGCGATATTCCTTTTCGCGTCACTTCTAAATATTGATGATTTCGTATTTTATAAGAGTGGATTTGGTGTGTAATTGGCGCGGGCCGATCTCAGATTTGGTTGGTGATGTATACAAACCCTATTCGGATTTCTGGTATGGATTCTTAGTTCTAAGAATGGATGCTTGATGCTTTTCTCCTGCAATCTTCGCGCGCTTTCTCGCTTTTCTCCCCCCTTTTCTGCTTCCTCTTTGTTTTTTTTTTTGTTTTTTTGTTTTTTTTTCGGTGAATGATAGAAAGATTGAGAGGGTTGACTTGAGTAAGCTTATCAATTGAAGGGTTTTGTTTTGTTTATTTTTGTTTATTTTTTTAGTAAAATTGAGTCGTTTGATTGAGTAGAGGCACTGTGGTGTTTGTAGGGTTTGATTTATGCTGTTCGATGAAATTTTGTTAGGGTTTTGGTAGATCTTGTGATGGGAAATAAATGATTATTGAACTTTAATGAGTACTTTTTATCTTTTTGGTAATATTAATGAATACTGCTTATTAGGTGGGTATTAAATAAGAGCATCTATCGCAGGTGTTTTATGATCGAGCAGGTTATCATTGGTGATTGAAGGTTATTTTAATCATATGATTAGCATTAGGTCCATATGCTTTCATACTGTCTTTTGAAGCACTTAGAAATCATATCAGTGATTACTCTTTTAGACTACATATTTCTGACATTAATGTGATTTCTAAGCTCAATAATCGGTAGAACTCGGAAGAGGGACAATGAGAGTAGTGCTCTATAAATATAAGATCATAATGATTGGAATGAGACAACTTCTTATATAAATTAGTTTAAAAATTATAGATTTTATTCCGCTGTTATAAAATCAAAAGTTAGGCGAGTCTTTCCCAAACCTCAACTCTTAAGACTCCATATGACAATCACATACCCTAATACTAATCCTATTAAGCCCTATTTATACCAAACAATAATAACTAATAATTGACTAAATTGCCTATTTAGCTTTGCCCCTAAAAAAAGTCTTCAAATTATTTAGCGGGCTCGGCGTGGTGGAAAGCACCGTGGGTGCCAGTCCAATACATAATTTATAGATTGATGTGATTGGGCCTGGCCAATGGACTAATGGAAGAAAAAAATATGCACGCTAAAGGGCGCATTTGGAAGAAGTTGAAAAAATTAAGAAGATTGTACGGTCAAATTGTCTCAATGAAACATAGCTACAATTAGTGCCAGAAGGCTTGTTTAAACTAAAGTCAATATCTTTTGTAGCATTTGATAGGATTGGAAGGAGAAGCCCATACTACATAGTTAGGAAATGTTCTCATGATGATGATTGTGGTAGCCGGGAGTTGCTTTTGGAGGCTGTATGTGAATGGATTTAGTGAGATTTAAGTTAAATTCTGACAATGATATTTTTAATTACAGGATTTATCAAATCCATCTACTTTTCAATTTCTTCTTAATTTTGCCTTAAATCCAAGATTTATCTTACTGTTGGCAGGATTTACTAAATCTGAATTTACATAATTTACCAAAGTTGTTGAAATCGTTACCATACATGATACAACCCCCCTTGATTTGAGTGCTTCTCTGTACTCATATCAACTTTTGTGTTCCTGCTTAATCTATCCATAAATTGTGATGTGGATGTTGAAAGAGAGTTTTGCAGTGGCAGTAGCTTGGTTTAATATTTGACATAGAGATTCAACAAGGAAAAGCACTTAGGGTTTTTTATTTTTTGTTTTAAAGATGTGCATATGATTTCCACCATCAGATTTTCTTTTAACAATCATTCAAGGATTTTCAGCGATGCAATAAATTAATATTTTCTTTGACTCCATCATTATGTCAGGTTGTAGAGGCGCCATTCATTTAAATGTGAAGATCTAGATCCGTGCTGCTCCGGCCTTCAATTTCTACCATGATCAAATCATATAAACCGGTGATTATGCTCATCTCTGATTGAGCAATATAGACATTCGTGTTTGATAGAGTATAGTTCTATTGTGGCAGTTTGTTTCCAGAATGTTGCTTGATATTCGTGGTTACCGCATCCTTCACCTGATGTTGGAGGTGTGGTTTTGGATGACAATATCGTTCATTATTATTTATTTGCCTTAAATTCTGTCCTTAGCATTGCCTTGATTCAACTGTGCATCTTATCCATCTTCTATTACTTCCAATTGATATATGAATCATTCTGATTTAAACAGGATTGTTTTTTGTTTCACATGGCGAAATATATAGTTGTACAAAATACTTATACTAATAGAAGGTTTTAGCGACCAATCGAGACTATATCTTCATAATTGGATTAAAAATACCTTTGACATGGCTGAATCCCAGCTTCTCATTGTTGCCGGCCTAACCGTTGCCTTGATTGGAATACTCACGTTCGCTTATGCCATGTTTCTATGGAGACGAAGTATTAGCCTAAGCTGGATGAGGGCGATAGCAAGATCAAAGAAAAACCGAAAGAAAAAGAACAAGGCTCCCGCTGCTGCTCATGTATGGAGCATCGAATCTGCTGCCCGTGCCAAAGGATTAAACTGTTGCGTATGTTTAGATTCACTCTCACCATCTCAATCCCTCGGACAGATGATGGCCTCAGATTATTTCTTTCACCGATGTGATGTCTGCGGTGCCGCTGCACACCTAATTTGTTCTTCCAAGGCACATAAAGATTGCAAATGTGTATCCATGGTTGGTTATAAACATGTAGTTCATCAGTGGGCTGTGCAGTGGGTGTTGATAGCTGGTAGATCTGAAGATATTTCTTATTGTAGTTACTGTGAAGAACCTTGCAGCGGATCATTTCTCGGTGGCTCTCCATTTTGGTGCTGTATGTGGTGCCAACGACTCGTGCATATAGATTGCCATGCAAGCTTGTCGAAGGAGATCGGCGATATATGTGATCTTGGGCCATTTAAGCGCCTTATTTTATCACCGCTTCACATAAAAGATGTGAGCAGAAGTGGCGGGATACTTAGTTCTATTACACATGGTGCAAATGAATTTGCATCGAATATACGTGAACATATGAAGAGCCCAAGTATGAAAGCTAAGCACACCAGTAACCCTACTGCTGATTCTGCAAACACTTCCAATTTAGTGGACTCATCTGCAGAAAGAGCGGTAGATTCCCACCAAACTCATAAGGGCTTTAATGAAAAACTAGAACATTTATCTGAGAAGCTTGATGCAGAAAATATACCTCCAAGTGGTGAAAATGGTTATAGGGAGGTGATGAAGCGATATGCTTTGAGAAGTTCTTCTTTCAACCAGAGTACTGATTCTGGTGTGGAAGGGACAAAGCTGAAATATGAGCTGATTGATTTACCTCCTGGTGCACGGCCGCTGCTGGTTTTCATCAACAAAAAGAGTGGAGCACAACGCACGGACTTGCTTAAGTTATGTTTGCGCTTTCTTCTGAATCCTGTACAGGTTTGTCTTTATATTCTATCCATTGAAATGACTTTTTTTTTGTGGGAAATTATGGACATTGATGATTGGTGATAATGGTTTCCTCTCATGTCTACAATTTTACATTCTTAATGTGCTTGTTAACGGAAAACATAGATTATTTCTGAGCTTGTCATCTTTGCTACTTTTATATTGTTTCAAAATGGTACCCAACTATTTCTATGTGGCTAATTTAATCTCAGAGTATTATATTTTTCCAAGTTAGTCTTCCAACTATACAAAATTAATCTAAGATGATCCCTTAAGATTAAATTGAGATTAATGTAGTTGAGGAACTAAATTAGGATCTATTTTGTATTATAATTTTTTATAGGATGTGCCGTTTTTTATCATTTTTCTATGATCAAGGGACTTGAGTTTAAGAAATCTGATGCTATAGTATTAAATTGGCTACACTCGAGTGGTCTGAGGACTACTTTGATTTTTTTTTTAAATTTTTGTTATTTATGAGCTCATTATCAATTTGTTTTGCAAAATACTTTAAATTATCTTCTTTCATTTTATGTTTCTGTTTTTTGTTCTTTGGTTCAATTAACACAATAGGATGTAATGGACATAAAAATTGATTATAGTTTTGAGTCCCCTTATTAAACAAAATCTATTGATGGCATGTGCATGATCACTATCTTGCTATTTATATTTGAAGAAAAGCTAAGGCAAACTTGTTTCCATTTTGTTCTTGTTTGTGTCTACTTAAAAGTTAATACTCCATTTGATCGATTTAGTTATACTTCTTAAATTACGATGTTGCCTTGTACATAGGCATAGGAATGATTCAATTTCAGATTGATTTGACCTCATCTCAAGAGCAACTCAAAGTAAAATGTTCTAATCACGATTAGTACCATGATTATTTATATTTTAGCTTTAATCTAATTTTTAGCTCTATCGAAGCTAAAAGCGATGCAACATGTTTTCAATGCATGATTTCTTAATGCAGATGTATGATGGGATACAAGGGATGCACAAAATCATGCACAAATATTCATATCCACAATTCATAAACACTTTGGTACTTACCATGTAGAAAAAAGAGGGAACTATCACTTAATTATCCTTACTAATCTTCAACCATAAGGCTATATTTATAGCAAAACCCTTCCCTCCTAATTTACAATCTTACCAAATATATCTGGCCAAAACTTATAAAAAAAATAATTCTGAAATAAACATAAATATGAAGAGAATAAAACTAATCAAGGAGTTTTCTAAATTATCTCCAATTTATCCATCAATCTCTCATTGGATTGTCAACCTTGTCTCACCACGAAAAGGAAGACGATCTTTATAGATTTTCACACTCCCTCTTAAGTTGGGTTGTAGTTGTTGTAGAGATCAAACTTGATATTAAAGATGTCACTTAATCGAAGAGCTTTGGTAAAGACATCAACAGCTTGTTGGTGTGTTGGGGTATAGCATAGATATATAATTTCATCATTAAAATTTTTCAGAGATAAAGTGCTTATTAATTTCGATGTGTTTGTTCCTGTCATAATGTACAGGGTTCTTGGCAAAACTGATAGCTGTTTGAGTGTCACAAAATATTTTTTTAGGCCTATTAGGGGCACACCCTAATTCTCGGCAAAACTGATAGCTGTTTGAGTGTCACAAAATATCAATGTCATAATATTAGGGGCACACCCTAATTCTCAGAACAATTTCTGAATCCAAATCCCTTCACTGATTTCTAAGACAATTGTGGATTAGACATTGATATAGGTTGATTAGGTGCTAAATCACTTAAAATTTACTATTATGCAATAGTTAATATTTTAGCTTTACATTCTTGCACTTTTATTGATTTTATATATGCTTAAAAATACAAGTATTTAATACTGCTGCTAGAAGATTTAATTTCTCAGCAACGACTCCAAAAATTTAATAACGGTTATAGATTCGATAAAGATGTATATATTAAATATTCAATAATGGTAAAGTCACACTTATCAACGCAAGTATACGTATCGCTCAAGTAATATAGGGCTCTAATGGAGTCCTAGATATCGATCCCACAGAAAGTAATATTATAACTACGAACTAAGATTTTAAAAAATCAAGACTTAATCACAACAATATAATTCAAATTGCTTATCTGTCACTAATAAACAATTGACATAAATAAATAATTTTAATAACTATTACATAACTAATTATACTAATAAAATTTCTAATGTGATATTCAATATACAAGAAAACATCTTTCTCCTTGTCAAAAAATTATAGTGAATGGATAAAGTGAATCAGTTCAAATTGTATTGTGCTAAATAGGAGCATACATATTCTTTACTCTTTGGTCCAGACATGAAGAACTTTGACTAATCCTATGCTTGGTTACTGAATTTGCGGCTAGGTTGGGAGGATACCGGCTCTCACTTCGGAGCTCCCATGTTCCCCTCGCCTGAGGGCTAATATCTACACTTCAGCACCCAAACGATATGACCAAATTGGGGATTTTACTCTGTCACTCTAAGGGTCCGTTTGGGGCAGTTTATAAGTGCGGGCAGCATTTTCAAAACGTCGCCGTACTGTTTGGTTCGCGCGTTTCATCAGCTTATCTGAAACTGCGTTTGGATTTTTACACTAAACGCAGGTCGCGGGTTGACCCCTGCGGCCAGCCCGCGGGCCGCGTTTCAGGATAAACTGCTTATCCTGAAACACACAAGCTGCCCCAAACGG